GAAGACGACGAGGGCCCGCCAACAGCCCTCAAGGCCTTCCGTGTCGACTTTTGGGATGGAGACCCGGACGACCCAAAGAACTGGTCGACGGCTTATCGTGTGCTCGTCGTCGCCATGTTTGCCTTGACGACACTGGCTACGGGCATCTACTCGACGGCCTACTCCAGTGGTATCACCCAGATGAGCCAAGAGCTCAACGTTACCAACCCTTCACTACCTCTCCTCGGTATCTCTCTTTACCTCGTCGGTCTCGCCCTCGGTGCCCTCATCATGGCACCGTTGAGTGAGACGTTTGGCCGAAGACCAATGTACATTGGCGGCCTCACTGTTTTCTTGGGACTGATTCCCCTCGCCGCACTGGCAACCAACTTTACGATGGTCATCGTGGCACGTTTCCTAGGGTAAGTCACCTTCACATAGTTCCTTTATTCATATGACCAGTTGCTCACATGAAATCTAGTGCTGTTGCGGGTAGTGTCATGCTTTCCAACGTTGGTGGCTCAATCATGGATATCACGAACCCCAAATACTTGCCGCTGGCTATGTCAGTGTACTCATTTGGACCCCTCAACGGTCCCGTTCTCGGGCCTCTCATGGTAAGCTCCATTCGCCCACAACCTTCAGCCCAGTCGCTAACAACAAATGACAGGGTGGCTTCCTCGTGGAAGCGTTCGGCTGGAGATCACTCAACTGGATGTCATTGATTTCAACAGCCGTCGGAGCTCTGTTCATCATGACCGTCCCAGAGACTTACCGGCCAACTCTTCTCAGAAAGAAAGCCGCCGCAAAGCGTCAAGAAGAAGAAGACCACAGATACTGGTCCGACTTTGACGACACCGTCCCCATCTTCCGCAGAATCAGGACGGCCGTGTCCCGTCCCTTCATCCTATCATTTACCGAGCCCGTACTCATGTTCTGGAACATTTACATCTCTGTCATTTACGCCATCGTCCAGTTGGCCTACGTCGCTTTCCCTATTGTTTACACCACCGAGCGCGGCTGGAGCGTCGCCATTTCTGGTCTCGCCTTCCTCGGCGTCTTCGTCGGCATCGCGCTCGTCCTAGCCACCGAGCCACTTCTCAGGAAGCTGGTCAACCGCCAGCCCAAGAACCCGGAGACTGGCCAACAGGAGCCCGAGGCCGTCGTTCTCCTCATATGTATCGGCGCGGTCCTTGAGCCAGTGGGCCAGCTCTCATTCGCACTCACTTCTCTACCCATCGACATCCCCTTTTACTGGAGTGTCCTGTCCGGCGTCCCCTTCGGCTACGGCTTCGGCCTCGTCTTCATCTATGGCACTAGCTACATTTCAAAAGTCTTTGGCATGTACGCGACCTCTGCGTCAGCCGGCAACCTCGTCTTCAGATCTATTCTGGGCGCCGTGTTGGTGCTCGTCGGCAAGAGCATGTACGCCGCCCTGACACCGCGCATTGCGGGCATTACGGTCGGTGTCGCCGAGGTCGTGCTCATGCCCGTCCCCTTTATCTTTTACAAGTGGGGCAAAAAGATTCGGCAGAGAAGCAAACTTATCCAAACTTTGGAGGAACAAGCGAAGAAGATGTCTTAATTTTTTTTTATCCCCTCTGTACTACGGAAACCGGAAAGATACCCCCTTTTCCTATGTCGAATACTGTACTGTGAACCAGTCACCAGTCGCATTCTTGTCAAATAGCCTTTATTTATCAAACATCTGTACTTAGAGCCTCGAGCGATCAAAATGTGTAGAATATAGATAGAATCATCATCATCATTATCCAAAAGCCCAACATAGCCTCCCATCTTCTGCTCATTTCTTGTACGAGTACATGTAGTTATTGCGTCGCAGACTGCACGCACAGTCGTGAGATCTGCGGCCATTGCAAACTTGTAAGGTACATGTAGTTTTCCTATGCCGAACAAAGCTGCAACCGCTCTTTCCAACACATTTTGACCCACTGATTCTGTGTATATCGACATGACTCTTCTGCAGGGGACAAACTACTCGCACGGCTCGCAGTGTTTGTCACATCGCCCGTCCAAACATTTTCCCGCAGCATCTTGAGCGCCACTGAGATGTTGAGAAGCTTCTGCTTGTCGATAATCCTCTCAAACAGTTCTTCTACCTCATACCGCCGTGCGCTCACCGCCATGCTCTCGCAGCCGAGCACAAACACCGGCCAAATCATCATGGTCGCCGCATGCGTGTCGAGCGGCACGGCGGCAACGGCGTCGGATAGCTGCTCCACCAAAGCCAGGGGATGCTTTGTGGGACGTTCGGCTGCCAATGTGCTTGAGTCGCCCTCGTCCGCCCGGAGCAGGAAAATTTGTGTTGCCAGGCTGTGGGCCTGGGCAGCTGCGATGCAGGCGTTGGCATCGCGTATTTTGAGACTCGTTGGCGGGGCCGATGGATCAGTATTTGGATCTGGCTGGTGCTGAGGAGGTGGAAGGTCTCGACAAGCTGACTCCAGTTCATCTAGCAGTTGACATCGAGAAGAGACAAAGTCCTCGGGCATGATTGTGGTTTGAAAGAAGTCGTCTACCAGCGAGGCTGCTGCCCCAATCACTGGCAAGATGTGCATCGAGTAGCCGAAAACAATGTCTGGGCCATTGGCAAGAGAGAAGTCTTGACACTTTGGGAGGATGAGATCATGCCAGGCATGCTCGTCAAAGACTGGGTGTGTTGCGCAAGGTACGCAGCAAAACGTGTCGATATAAGCCATCATCTTGATGTTTACTGCCATCATCGGCGTGTCCATTTCCATTGGCCAATTTGCGGCCACTCTTTGTCGTAAATTTTGTCTTTCTTGCATTTGTGCTTTAAGGCCTCGAAGAAGAGGGATGATTGACGGTGTATGCGATCCTTGCATGATTTCCATGCCAACGAGCGCTGCCGATGCCGCAATTGCCTCTTCACTCAAGTACACTGGGAATGACGTCTGAAACTGGGGATTCGATATGGCTCTAGGCTGCTTTACGCAGGCCACCATTGTGGAGAGTGCTCTTTGTTTCCTCTCGAGAGTTTCTGCATGTTTGAGCTTCCCGAGTGCGTGAAGATGAGCAGACCCGGCTGCCAGAACCGCTGGAAGCAGGATGGAATTTTCCTTCCAGACAAAGGCAAGGTATGGTTGTCGTATAGTAGCGTATTCTTCAGGGTTAGGATACACAAGATCCGGCAAAGAGTCGGCCCAGTGTCTGAAGATGAAGGCATCTGACGAGGAATGAAGTTTCGGGCCCACTGACAAACTCCGTGTTACGGATGTTGGGGGGATAGCTTTTTTCCTACACGCGGCGGACTTTTTTGATGGACAAATCGTCAAAGAACTTCGCGGCTTGATGACGCTCTTGCTTGCAGATTGGCTATCCGGGCTGATATCGCTGATCTCAACCCATTTCAGATGTATCTGGTATCCGACACACTCAACACCACGACGCTCGCACTGCTTGCAGAACGGGCGCGCCTCGTCGCACTTGATACGGGCTGTTCGGCATGTCCCGCATCCTGTGTCAAGAGCAGAGAAAAGTTAGATCCAACGCCAAGAGACGATTGAAGAGCCAAGCGCGATGAGACTTCGACGCGATTATCGGCCTCGTCGAGTGTGGGTTGACGAACCGTTGCGAGAGCGTCTGTGAGCTTGAGCAGCCATTGAAATCCGCCCGGCATTGGCCGAGTTTGTGATGTGAGGTGAGGTTTTGTGCTACGTGTGATGTTGATAGAAACTTCCCTCCCCCCAGACCAAGTTGCATGTGATTTGAGTTCGTAATTCCGGTGGGATAAGGTGATACAGGTCGTTGAACTCAATCCGAGTGGTTTGTGCTAATGCAGAATTGTAGATGAGAAGAGAAACGCGACTAGCCATGACCAGATTAGGAAAAAAACGACTCCTTACCCGCCAAGATGGCGAGGTGTCTTGGTTTTATGTGCTCCGCTTTCATCCGGTTCCGACGACAAAGCGGTAAGTGGAGACCGCTATGAGGTTGTAACCAATAGCAACTGCGTAACCGAGTCAGCAATGTCGTCGATGTTGTCACTAAAACATAACCATGACCTTGAATATTTGGTGACATCTTGGCTTGTGCTGAGCTGACTTTTCTGTATTTTTGGTTACATTCTCTAGCTGTGGCCTCAGATTGTCCCGAGTCCTCGGGTTTCATTACGATATAGTCTAGACCTTGCCAAGCTTCTATCCACATAGCTGGGGCACATTTGGTGCTCTAAAGATCTAGACTTCCTAGTACAGCATGGGAAGATTAGACCTAGTCAGGGTGGGGTTTTACCGACTACGGAGTGGATTCGGAGAGATCGCTGCCTTCGTGAGGACTTGAGCGGGCATTCAACGTTGCAATTAAGACGTTGATTTTGAAGGAGTTTAGATCTCTGTAATACGTGTTGCCTCGTGGATTCATGGAGGAATGAGGGGGCGCTTACATTATGTACTAAGAAATTAGCGGCATCTGCTAAAGCGCTATTTCGCCCCACAAGTGATGTCTGGCACGAGCTTCCATCATGGCATCAAATCATCAATTCAAAGACGTATAATGAAATGTCATTGACGGTTAACCCAACCGATCGAATGTAAAGCCAATCTGAGATATAATCCTAGGTATCTTGCTGGAGATAACATTATGACTTCCAGCGTGTGCTATGATCATCTGTACTATTAGGGTAGTTCGTAAGCTGCAGTCCTTGGCCTTGAATCCTGACTCCTGGGCAAATGCAAACCTGCGACATTTCTGTGATTAGCGATAATATTTTCCAATCAGAACCATTTCTTTTAACAAAAGCATTTCGCAGATGAATCCTTGAGAGCCACTGTATTAGACGCAAATACCATGAGAGTGCTGACATGTAAGACTAAAATCTGACAGGCTGGTTCTAGGCGTTGACATTGGTTAGATTCACGCACTCCGTTGTGCTTGGAGCACATTGGAGTACGCTATGCCGATGAAGATCATTATTATCAAAGTACTTATTACTATCTCCCCCCGTAAAGCCAATATATCTTTGGTCACATATTCTCCATCGAAGTTTCTCAACCTCCATCATGGACCGCGCGAATCTCATCGCGACACTCGACGCAACGAGACAAACTCCCAGACGACCTATCGTGACCCTCGCAAATTGCGACAACGCATGGCTCACTTCTATCCCTAAACCTTCCGGGGCGACCGGCGAAAAGGGTTTTTACCACATCCTACAAGACCCTTGGCTCTTTGGCGTCAACGATGTTCTCATCAGCTACTTTTTGCGGCTGTCACTCAAGGAAAAGTCGGCACTAGAAACAATTGAAGCCTGTGAAGATATGGTCCGACAGATTGAGGAGGCCGTGGGAGGCTCAAAGGAGGACGACGAGCACTGGCTCGATGCGGTGACCGTCACCCATACCAACCCGGATCACCTGCACCAACCGACGCTACGAACATTTGATCCATCACTAAAAGTCTTTGCCGTAGAGGATGCCGCCGCCACGATCTCTACAATGAAGCATTTTGACAATGTCTACGTTCTTCCGGACTTTGTACGTAACCAAGCGTGGCCTGCTACGCCAGAGATGCCCGAATGGTTATCCATTTTCCGGCTTGAAGACGAGACCAAGCAGTACCCGAACCTTTACCATGCCATCGTCATCAAAATTGTAGCTGCGAATGGAGAAAACGAGGTCATTTTGTACAGCCCTCACGGAGTTGACCCCGGTATCGTAGAAGCCGCCATGGAGATGGACCCCGATGCCAAGGTCGTTGCAATGACGCATCCGATTAACGAGGCTGGTGTTGGACTCAAGTCCAAGGGGGTAGCTAATGCTCTGAGAATCCAGCGGAAGCATTCACCAAAGTACTGGATTCATTGCCAAGAGGGAATCCAGTATACCGGGTTCCTGACCTGGTTCTTCGACTTTGGAGACAAGACTTTGGAAATAGGCTTGGAGGAAGAGGCCAAGGAAACCAAAGAGGAGCTGCCTAGGCCCAACTATGTGACTATCTCGAACGGCGCAGGGTTTGTTCTGGCATGAATAGGGCTGTGTGAATGATATGGGCACTATTGGCGTTTGAAGCTTCACCACGCAACCAACCACGATGTATCTGTATTTCCAAATAGTCCAATCGAAGCACAAATGACTTGCAAACTAGGCGCACAAGAAAAAAAAAAGCAAGATCGGCTTCACAAGAGCCAAAAAATGTAAAAAGAACTCCTCGACGGGGAATTGAACCCCGGTCCCCTGCGAATCGTTGACAAGCAATGACAAGCAGATATCCTCACCACTAGACTATCGGGGATTAGTGGATGTGTGCATCCAGTGATAGTTGGCTGGGTGGGGAGCAGTTTAGCCATGCTATAGAGTTTGGTTCGAACTCAGAGGGGCGGAGGTGCCAGAAGCGCTGCGGACATCAACTCAAAGCCCAAAATTGCCGTCAATAGAGGAGGAGATGCGGCATGATCAGGACACTATGTGATTATCTTCAGTAATTTATGGGAAGAGCAGCGCGACAACGAGCATTTGCCACAGCTACTGTTGAGTCTGTAAGGCGACCTCTACACCTGGGCAGCGCACACTAGGTTACTTTGCCGCCCTTCCCTAACGATCTTGTAGGGAGCCGGCAGTGTCCATCCGCACACCCTTGACGGCATGATTGAAACCAGGTCAAGGCATTCACAAGGGATGACAACATATAGAAATCAGCGGCAGGATCAGGATTGCATGGGTAGAACAACGGAAGAGACGACGCAGCCCTACCTGTGGCACAGTCAATGGCCTTTGGTCCTCATTGGAGAAGTGTGGCCGCCGGTACTGACACAACCACAGTGGCGCAAGCTCACTAACAAGAAGCCATCTCAGTGAAGAGCACTAAACCAGAGAGAAGCACAAGTGCTTACTCCGTCACGACAGATCTGCACTCAAGTTCCCCTGACATCATCTGGCATTCTCAGCCTTGAGCATAGCCGCTTCAGAACTTGGCTGCCTGATGGGGGGGCAAGTTAAGCATTTCGCTAATTCATAAGCGCGATAACTGCCGCCGCGGAGTGAAGCTCAACGCCATGTACTCTCAAGACATTCGATCAAGTGTCACACCATCATGAGCACGTCAGACGCCAACAGCGTCAATTCAGAATGCCACCAGCTGCAAGCCGCTTTGTCACCGGCCACCGCAGCTTTACGTGACTTCATTGCGGCCCATCCTGAAGCCGAAGCACAGCTCTCACCCGTACAAGAACAAGTCCTCTTACTATCCGACAGCATCGTCGCACTTCGACGCAATGTAGCGAGTTGCGAAGGAGAGGACCAGCTCTTGAGCGAAATCCGATACGTCCCGGCATTCTGCAATGAGGTCGTCGGCCAAATCGTAGGGTCCGTCTCTGACACGGTACCTGAGAAATCCCGATGGTCGCTGTCTCGGCGTGGTGACGATGCGTGGAGGAGCGCTGCCAGTCGTGCCGCGGCCCTCGGCTCACATTTGGCCACGGGGAGGAGGACAATGAGTCTGGCTGTTGATGCATTAGACCTGTAAGCCTGCCCACTCAATTGTTTCCGAGATATTGGTGAGATACTGAGACACAGTACCAGGGTCCAACATCTTCAAAGAGCAGAGGAAGCCGGCGAGTCCCCTCCTTATGCTACCAGCGCGATCCTCCAGGAGGTCAACTCCATCAAAGAGATCCTCAACCGTCAGCCCGCATCAGACCAGAACTTATCGCCGCAAAAGCTCGCCGGGTTTCTCAACTTCGTTCGGACCTTCATAGACAACCAGTCGTCCACGGTTCCGGCATCAGACATGGCGAGACTGTCCGTCACCGCCGACAACGCCGGCTCTTCAACCTACTCCATGTCCGCCGCACCAAGCTTAGACGGAGACGTGAACCCATACCCAACCCTGCTCGCGCCAGCTCCCGCCCACGCCACATTCCGTCACGTCGGCAAGATCACAATGAACCTGGAAAAAGAACCCGTCGACATCCGCTTCACCTCCGCAACAGACCCGACCTCCTTCGCCGTCTCCAACTTCTTCAAAGACATCAGCCTCTTCGACGCCGCCTCCGGGGAGCGCAGGCGTACCATCAAAGTAAAAGGCGTGAACATGGTCTTCTCCCCGCTGATGGACCTCGTCGCCGTAACGACGGAGCATCACGATGAATACGTCAACCGGTTTCCCAAGACCATTATAACATCACATGACATGGTCCACTTCGAGAGGCCGGCCCTCTACGTCGTCGAATGGGTCAACGACAACAGCCCCAACGCGCGCAAGTTCATCCTGCAGTGGCACGGCATCCGCGCCTTTGCCTTCAGCCCCGACGGCCAGCTTCTGGCAATCAAGGGAGTACGCAATCGCGTTGAGATCGTCACAGCCGCCAAAGGGCAGGGGTACAGCGTCATCCGCAGTCACACCGATGAAGTCACGCACGCGGAGTGGACGGCGGACTGCACCAGGCTTGTCACTGCATCCAAGGACGGGACGCTGAGGATCACGAATGTCGAGACTGGCCGGAACATTGCCAAGATCGAGATGGAGGACTGGAGGAACCCGCTCCGGCTTGCTGTGAGCCCGGCGGGAGTGATTGCATCGATTTGGGGCAGAACGGTGACGATATGGGACCCTGAGAGCGGCGCGATGAACAGTTACAACCTTGAGACGGCAAAGGGCAGCGAGGGCGTCCCCTTGGCGATCTCACCTGACCTGCGGTGGGTTGTGTACCGGTCAGACGATGGCGCTGATGCCACCGACCTCGCGACTGGGAAGGTGGTCTACTCGGCGAGGCTGGAGTCAGGCTTCGCGGTCTCGGCTGCCTTTTCTGGAAATGGGCAGTTCATGGTAGTCGGGAGGTGTTTGCATGGACACCATGCCAGAAATGATTCTGGCATTCTCAACGTGTGGGAGATTCAGACTTGACGTGATTTTATGAGCAAACGAGATACCATTAGCCGTACGAAATTAGGTCATTCATATGAGTAGAGTAACTCAGGATTAGAACGGAGTTTGGATTCTATGTGCAGCTTTACACAGGCAGCTTCCGTTTGCAGTATGTCTATTCGTTTTCCTCGAGTGCCAGAGGCTTCGTAAATGCGTCACGAGCCACTCAAAAACCTGAAGCTCTGTTCGCAGTCCTATGGGAGACAACATGAGGCGTCGATGGCGCATCGTTGCACTACCAACCCTTTCCACCAGGATAGTCGTTAGTGACAGCGTCATCGCGCTTCCAGGGCTTCCCGCCTGGGAAGCCACCAGTGTCGACGACGGCGTCGTCGGGGACCTATATATTGGATCTATGTTAGATCGAGGCACTACGAACTCAAATAACGACCAGATGGGGAACAGACCGGCGCGGTCATGGCCAGTGATACAATGGCGGCAAGAGCAAGCAAGTTGAACTTCATTTCGGCGGCTTCGATGTAGCAAACAAAGCAGAGTGAGATTGTTGCGGTAAGCGGTTGAGTTGCTCGGATGGTTCAAGAAGGTGATTCGCAATTCGGCGACAGAGTAAGCAGGCTTTAGTAGCCTTCTTTTATATCCATTCTCAGCGACAGTTCACGTTCAGCGATGCTGGAACCTAGAGTTATCTGAGGCCATCGTCAACTTCCACGCAACATCGAGACCGGCGGAGTTCCACCTCGAAGCTCGAGTAGCTCACTCAGCACCCTGCATCCTCTGCTTTATAGAAGATTCACCTTCCAGATGTAGATGCCCTTCTCTTACTGAGCATAGCATAAGCTTATCGAGTCGGCTGGGCCCGACGCTCCTACCGGTCACGTTCATCTCTGTGGTATGAGCCTCGGCGGCTAGACTCCCTTCACAATGAGACAGGAGCACACCAACGCGGTGGAAAGGCATCCAATTCGATGAAATCTGCTGCATATGCTAATTCAGGCTCGCTAGCTAAGGTGAGATACAGAGTAATCAAGGTGGTAATGAGACCATGACTACGCCTCGGTCTTCAGAGGCTTCTGTCCCCAGACTGCTCTCTGGCGGTAGTACCCATGAAGCTTGCCAGACCGGATCTCGCGACGCAGCTGCGCCGCATATATGTGGATTTCCTCACGAGACCAAGTCGACATGACGTTGGCCATGAAAAGGACATAGCCCTCAATGTCCGACAGGAGCGTCAGCTGAGCCCACTCGCCAATCTCCTTCTTCACCTCGTCCTTTGGCCAGTTACCGATAGGGGCCTATCATTTCCCATGTTAGTCTTTCCTCTGATACCGAAAGCGCAGGTCAATCCTCAAAGGGCTCTCAAATACCTTATTGTTCCACTCCGTAATACTCTCAAAGCCGGCGTCCTCCATTGACGTCCTCTGCAAGTTCTCGTCGAGGACCCGGAACGTTCGACCCATCTTCCGGCCGCCCTCCTCGAAGAACTTGCCCCACTGACCCAGCGCGCTAGTCTCCGGGACGGTCCCGTCGTCGCTCATGATGGCCGGCGAGACCTCGAAACTTTCAAGGTACCCGCCCGGCTTCAGAGCCCTGTACGCCTGCTTAAACAGCGCTGGCCAGTCCGCGATGCTGCCGACCAGGAAGCGGATGTGAACATAGTCAAAGGACTCTGGTTCGAAGGTCCATTCGCGCGTGCAGTCGTCAATTTCACTGTGTGGGGTCAACAACGGCATAAGATGCTGGATCTTGACGCTTCGAGTACTCACAACTTCAGATTAGGCGGAACCCAGCTAGGTTGGATTGGGGAGATGTCCGTTCCAATGACTTCACATTCGGGGTTCTCGTCGGCAAAGTCACTTTACAGAGTTCAGCCTCTTGCATCACATACTCATGCCGAATTTCTCAGCAGGCACTTACATAGCCCAGATACCTACGATGCCGTTAGCCTGACTTCATGAGCTGAGAATGACATAAGCGCCGCTCACCTGTTCCTGTACCAATATCCAGCGCTTTGTTTAGCTATTTAGAGTTTCGTTAGTTCAGGCCGATGAGCAAGCCACCGCCGATGAGCCCGTCACCTACCTTGCTTTTATCAAGCGGTGCCAAGTGAAGCTTGTCGCCCATAGACAAGGTGAGTAAATGATGGCTAATGAGCGTCAGCTTCGACCTCTCACTTCTTTCGTCATTGGTGGTTTCCATCTCACTTGATATCCCAAGCCTCGTTCTGTTGCTCATCGTTGCTCCCCCTTTCACAAACCCGTTAGCGAGAACGCCCAAAACGCTCAGTCCTCTCAGCCCGCGGGAGTCACTACCAATACTGGGCGTCGCCAACCTCGCCGTGGAACGTCCTCCCGTGTATCTTCCGGTACTGCAAAATCGTAGAGGTGATCGACGCCGTGGAGCTGGCGTTGTCGTCGCCTAGCGCAGAGTCGGCATCGTCGTCGTTAGCAGCGTCCTAGCGGCCTGTCAATCTTCAAAATCCCGCGGGCGGCCGCCGTTGAAAGGGGGAGGGGGGACATGTAGAGAATCTACGCCCCCACGATGGGAAAAGGCGTCGAACTGACTCGTGCCGCTTGCACCCAGTGCTCAGCCGGTAGAATTCCAGCCGCTGCGTTCGCCGCGGTCTCCTGCTGCTGCGCCGTGGCCGCAGCCGTCTGGTCCTCGTCTCCCTCGGGACACATTTTGTCGAATGGTATTGGGGGGTTCGGGCTCGCGATGTGAAGCTGTACACCACTTGTGTCGTCGCAGGGTTTCCCGTTGCTGTTTCCGGACTCCCGGTTACTGTTGCTCGAATCCCGGAAGGAAAGGAAGAGAGTGTATGTGTCTTGAGACTGAGAAATCGAATTGCTTGGACGGCAGCGGGAAAGGGTGGAAACTTGCCCGCCACGAGTCACGACAAAATTCCCGGTCCCTGTTCCTGTTCTTCAATGAGCTCGGAAACCCCACAGCGGGCGGGCAAAGCGCGTGGTCGTGGACGTGCGCACGCCTTGTCGCCTCCAGCTCTTCGGGCGATCAGTCAAGTTTCCCTTCACCGCATCAACACATCCCCGGACGGGAAGGGGGCGGGCAGGTTGGTTGTGGTCCTCTGCTTCGCTTCTCCAATCCGTTGGAGTCTTGGAGAGCATCTCCTCATCTGCCGGTTGTCAGCTTCATGTCAGCTCCGCCCGAATTTTGCAGCTTTAAGCTGTGCCATGGCTCATGGTAACGTGTCAAGCGGTGTGCCAAGGCCGCTGACCTAAGGTGTAGAATGCTACCATGTTCGGCCCTCATCACCAGAAACGACCGGAAGAGGGGCCGGGGATCGTCAGCGGGTAGGCCAACCAGGTGAGGACTCGCGGCATTTGCCAGTGGATCTCGCATGCAAGAACCTGCAAGGAATAGCACACATTAATGATCAAGAACCTGGGTCTCCGCGTGCTCAATGGTGACTGCTGCGACTTTGACAGCATGTACACGTGTTGGACGAGTCGGCCGCTCAAGACCAGGAACGAGGGGTGGCCGACGGGGCCCTAGACTTTTTCAAGAAAAGACAATTATCGCATTTGCTAGGCACAGATGAACAGGATATCTCTCCGGCTCTAATACGATGCATTCAGTCGCATCTCGATGTACTCGCGACTGTTTATCGGGTCGTACTTCTTCGGCCTACCGGAGCCGTAGCAGCCAGGCACGCAGTCTACCGTCTTCTCCTGATCAGCGCCGATAAAGTACGGAATCGAATACCGTGCCCGGGTCACGCGGTTACCGCTCTCGTTCGTCTCGAGTGGCGGCGCTCGTACACGATGCACGGTGGACCGCAGAGTGTCGTTACTCCACCGCTGCATGAAGTCGCCAATGTTGACCACGATCGTCCCAGGGATGGACGACACGGGCAAGAACCGGCCCTCCTCGTTGGGATCCTCTACCTCGAGGCCGCCGACCTCGTCCTGGAAGAGGAGCGTCATGGAGCCAAAGTCCGAGTGCGCTCCCAGCCGCTCGACCCTGCCGGCGCGCAAGAGCTTCTCCTCGACAGGCGGGTAATGGAGGAGGCGGATCTGGTTGTCTTTCATCACATGATGGTCCCGGAAGAAGTCCTCGTCCAGGACCATGCCGAGAGCCATGGCGCGGAGCAGGTGGAGTTCGAGCTGATAGCAGACCTCGTAGAAATTGTTGAAAAATGACCGAAACCCGGGGAGCGACTCCTCGGGGAGCCAGATGTTGGGCAGGTGATCGTCGTCCTCGCGCCCAATCTCGTATGATTCCTTGAAGTCTGGTTTTTTCCTCAGCTCGCTGATTTCTTCGGCGTCAAATACCATTTGCGACACCTTTTCTCGGCCAATGCCGGAGTAACCGCGATGCCACCATCCCTCGGGCGGATGCGGCGCCTTGTCCTTCTCAGCCTGCGGGAGGGAAAAGAACTTCTCGCTCTAAGCATGGAACGATCAGCAAGTAGCGGTGATGAGAAAGTTCATTATTGTAAACGAACCCACTGAAAGGCGGACTTGATAGTCTCTTCGGGGATTCCATGGTTCTTCACATAGGCAAAGCCCGATACTCTGAAAGCATCCACAAGACGTTTGCCGGCATTCAGTGCTGCTTCAGGGTTGGTGCTGTCTTTCAGGGCACCCAGGTCAACGAGTGGAATGTTGGACTCCCCACCTGTTCGAGCAACGGAGGCTTCCTCGACCAACGACAGTGAGCGAGGCATAGTCAATTCAGCACTATTTCATGAACTGACAGAGTGGGAATTGCGAAAAGTTATCATAGTTCGGACAACTTTTCATCGATAAGATTTGTTCCCCGCGTTCTGCAGGATGACGGAATGACGTAGATCGGCGCACGAGGTTATTCACATGCGAACTGAGGCACCGTGCGTGCTGCACATCCAGTCAGCAAATTGAAAGGCCAGGCTAGTTTTTGAGGTCGAGCTATACATACTTCAACCTCTACATGAATGGGTATGCAAATGACCGATGTGCTTACTCCTATTCTTGAGCTGAGCCCATGTGATCACATTTACGATCAGTGTCCACGCCGTCCGGCGTCTACTTTTGCCTACTGATATCCTAAATGGGTGTATTGGCTTCTCTAACTTTCTCAGTTTATAGAAATAGTAAGACTTCTAGATCTATACACATAATAATCGGCACTCCTTATGCGTCTCATACAAAAGCCCGAGGTTCACGATGGCTAGACGCCTGGTTCATCGCCTAATCTAGCATCTACACGCAGGGCACTCCAAGGCCGAGCCCTGCGGTAAGGTTCAGGGAAGCATTACCAAACACTGAGGTTGCCAACCAGTTTCCGACATAGTTCTCAACCTCGAGAGGCTTCTGCCACCTCGCCCAGTGCCCGCCGTCGATCTCACCTCGGCTCAAGCTGTCAAAGTACGTTTCCATTCCTTCGGATAGAGACGGAGGCAGCGTGAGATCTTGGGTCGCAGCGATATACAGCGCAGGTTGCTTGAACTTTCCGCTGTAAGTGGTATTGTCGGGGATAAGTACCCGCTCATCTTCCCAGTTCAGCTTGTTGTTGCGATACTCATTCAGCGTATTATTGATTGGCTTCCTGGTGTATTCTTCGACATAGAAGTCAATCTGCGCCTTGGTGAGAAGCGGTGTGTCTGAAGTCACAAGATCCAGCAGATCAAAGTAGAATCCGATGTCTGTGACGTTGCTGGGTTGCTCGCCATTGGGGCCAATCACCCCGTAGACGTTGTTCAGGATTTGTCGAATGCGCGTTGTGTTCTGAGCATCGGCCGGCCCAACATAGTCCGCGACGGCATTTGTACGAAATTGCTGCTGGTATTTGAATCCAGGCCACTCGTATGCGAGGTCCACAAAGGAGGCCGTGGGAGCTGCGAAAGGCGTGTTGAGCACGTAGAAGGCGGCAACGAGGTCTGGATGCCAGATGGCGGTGCGATAAACCACTGCTCCACCAAAGTCGTGTCCGCCGAGGATGATACGAGAGAGACCAAGTTGGCTTGCGAGTGTGGCGATGTCGTCTGCCGCGCGCTTCCAGGTACTATTTCAGTTCAAATTGATTAGATCCCGCAGGCTCTTACTGAATCAACCTACAGCTGGCTCCTTAACGCGTCGTAACTTACTAAAACTTGACGTCCTCGGGTGAATCAGTCCCGCCATATCCAATCTTGTCCAAAGCGACGACGCCCAGGCCCTTGGAGAGGAGGAAGGGAATATGGTTGGCCCAGCCCAGGGCCAAATCAGGCCATCCGTGGACGAGGAAAACAGTACCAACAGACTTCCCCGAATCGGGATCTGCATGGATATATCTGTATTGAATACCGTTGAGATCGGCCGTTTTGAAATGGAGCCTGGAGTCGAGGGTAGCAAGAACGTCCATCTTGTGAGACTTGGTTGGTTTAATATGACTGGAGGTTGATGATGGTGAGGTTAGAACTGGAGTCGGTGATAGTGCTTGATTCAAATGTTCTGGTTCGTGAGAGGACGATCGATATTTATAAACCCGGTCTTCCATGAGAGTGACCGACTGTCCCGGTGTAAGATCGTGTAAGCTACTAAGTGAAAGCTCCATATCATGATCATACGGCACAGTCGCCATCTTAGAGTCCGTATGGCCAGGCCCTGAGCCCGCTTAGTGAGCTACTCAGATTCGTCCGAAGTCCCGGGAGCTCTTTGTTAAAATCTGTCATCTGTGAACCCCTGCAAGGTGGTATGAAGATAAAAGAAACATTGAAGTCGATTAGAAATGCATGCGAGATCGCGAGAAGCATCCCCGGCGACGTGGGCCAGTCTAAACCTCCTTACAAGACAACGTACACTCCTGGTAGTTGTTATGTCACATCATGAGAGAACTTGAACTAAAAATTTTGTTCAATCTTGACTGAAGTTTTATTCTGTCTACTAAATCTCATCGATCCAGTCTTCTTTCGGGTCTTTGCAAGTCGTTCACAGCGTGAGCATCTTCTTCACCGAGTTCACTTTCTAAGCCAGGTCTGATTAGTATCAACTCGCATCATTCTGGAGTCATTCCGACCGATCTATGGAGACTCACAAGGGTACTACTGCATATCTGCCCCTGTTGATGCCCTTCTACAAGGTTGTGGGCCCGCGGCTGCAGCTCTGTTTCCGCGTATGTGCTCATTAAGCAAGAATCTGATTAGTATAGACTCACTATTTTATATTACCCCGGCGGATGTGCGGTAAAATGCTTGGACAGACCACAAATTCTTCTCCTTTATTTCTTTCGAAATTAGAGTCAGTATGAAGATCCACCATCTTCTTTTGAACAGCCGGCGATTCTCCCGCAAGCAAAGCACGGGTGTTTGATTAGTATTCATCTCCAGATTAACCAGACTGATTTTAAGCCCCCGTATGGTTTTTATTGGAACCTATTCAATTGCCTGTATATTCTTTTAATCCTAATCTACGTTCTCATGAATATCTCACGCCTGACATAAGAAAAGACCTTGTTGAGATCACAATTCATGATGCAGAGTCTTACAGTCAAAATGATGAGAACTGAAGCCCAAAGATAGAGACAACGATGTCCCAGCTGCATTTTTCATTACTCAAATCATCTATCCACGACAGACTTATCAATTCGAAAGTGATCATGACTTTGGCAGTGTAACATTGTACATTGTGTTGTTGAATTTGTCTTTGCACCTGTCCCACAGACTTTTGTTGTTCTCACCGCAGGGCCAGGATAGGTGATTGTTGATGAGATTTTGAACTGATTCATCTCATTTGCTCTCCAAAGCTAAAACATACATCGCTGATCATTACACATTAGAGACGTTCCTTCTTCATCAGACAGCAACATCAGACCCCTATTTCCCATACGCTCGTGCCCAGTCCTGTCTTTCCAAGTCATCCTTGCTCTCCTCATCAGTCGTCATCTCAAGAGAATAATGTGTGTCCTTATCACATGTTGTCGAACTGCCCCCGAAGTCTCTCAACTTGACTGCTTGTGGCTTTTGTGGAGAGTTGCAGGGCGATGACTGGGTGCTCGATCCATGTGAGGCATGGGAATGGTGAGACTTCCGAACGGCTGTGGTGGACTGTGCTTGCGATTTTCTTCGGTGCGTTCCGGTCTGTATTGTTGATCTGATAGTGGTGAAGAAGATTGGCAATTTCTTGAAAAGAGGTCGTAGTGCTGGGAGGCTGCCGCAGATGATTGCGAGGTTGAGCTCGACGGATGACCATAGCACGACGTCGACGTTGTCCCCTAGAGCGGCTATTGGCATCAATCTCATACAAAGATGACCAGGAAACTTACAAGTAGAGTCAAATGAATTAGCGAATGAGACCAAGTATTTAAGTCGAATCATACTCGCGACGCAAGCACTGCAATCCTGAGTCAACATTTGTTAAGCTGCTTCAATGTTTGGCACGCCACTTACAAGGATCCAATAGCAAACATGCAAACCAATGCCGTTCTCTTCTTCTTTCCCAGTTGAAGCTTCATCAGTTCTGGAATAGGGATGACAATCAGGATAATATCCTCCAGGATACTGCAAGCAGCGCCTCCGTAGCTGATAGCCGAAACATTGAGGCAACGACCCTGGATAGATCGATCCCAGATCGACTCGATAGGTAGGCATTGAAATACCATCAACAGCAAGAACATGAAACCGTGGACGAACAAAAACACCATGAAGAGCTTGACTGCCAGGCGGAACTTCTGGTTGGTGAACACGCGGGAGTAGAAGCAGGCAATGGAGGCTTTGGCAAAGACTCTAGTCTACGATTAGCGATAGTCCTTTACTACCTCGGATCGTGTCTCGATGCACATACTGAATAAAGATGTAAAGCATCTGCAATACATAGAAAATCTGAGAAAGAGTGTCAGTTAGTTGCCCAAGAATCGTGATGTGCCGTGCGTTGTCGTACCTGCAAAATAGTCTTGCCATTTCCCGGGTCAATATCCCAATAGTGAAGTCCGAATCCCATTGCGGCATCTAATGCGTAGCTGAAGTTAGCACTAGACACGGAGTTTGTTGAGCCACGAAGGGAAGTCCATACTTGCGTAGCCAAGGCCTGACATGACTATCAAAAATGCCTGCCACGGTTAGTAAGCCAGTCGCTACGAGTGAACCATCACAGGGAACCTTACCAAAGCGATCAGTGCCGTCCAGTCGTCCCACCACAGTCGGTTCGTGACTTGTAATCGGGCCAGGCATCGGAGAGCTACCGTGAGGATCGTGATAACGGGTAGGCCAATGGAGAAAACCTTGGAGAACCTTCTGCGGTCCGGGTAAGGATAGCCCTCACATAATTGTTGCGAGATACGGGCAGTGGCTTCAAAGTCATGTTAGTGAGAACGAAGGCATTAAGAAGACTTAGACTCCATCACTCACCAACTTGGTCATCGAATTCGCAAGCTTGCTGTATACATGCCGAGGCACGGGCTTGCAGAGGAATATTGGTGCAGACACAGTCCGTCAACCCCTCGAGGGTGCAATTACCAGAATGGAACGCATCGACGAAGCATGGCATCTAAAAGATGAGCCAGGTCAGTGAGCGTAACTACTGACTTGAAGTCATGAGAAGGCTGAGGATCACTCAGCCAAGACTGAAACAGTAAGAGTCACTTACCGCACATTTTGGCGTCGTCGCGAGTAGCTTTGTGATCTCAGTCGTGTTCAAGCTAGGCACATTCGCCTGTGCCGTCGCGGCAAACAGCAGGACGATTGCGACCCGCACGATTTGCTTCATTCTCAGAAACGATGCGACGGCATGCGGTGTGTGGTTGAAGCCGGTCGTTGCATGGGCGTCCAGGTGTCACAACGGCGAAAGAACCCCCCCATCAACAAGACCGGGCCCACGCGAGATGAGGGAGACATCCTGTATATGAACTGGGCATTACATATCGGCGACCGGAGTTTCGTTCATGAGACCACATCCACAGGGTAAGATCGCCACTCAGCCGCCACTACGAAACAATGGCTTGCGATGGACGAAAGCGGCACACTTTGGGATGGTCTCGACGTCGCGGAGACGGGGAAGCGCTCCCAGCTCTCGTCGCTAACGTCTGGGCGACCAGACTTGCGGTTTATGCATCCAGCCCATTTGCTTTGGCGAGAGCGCCACGGGGCTTACTTTTCACATCACCATGTGCGGCTATCCGGCTTCTTTCAAAGCGATGGATAACAGCAGGTGGACGACAGCGCTTGGTGTCTCTCGCTTGTGAGATAACGATGAGCAACGGTTATAGGCTGCTTGCGTGCGTCCGCTGTGCTGAATTTAGAGTGCGCATTACTCTGAGTTTCTTCTTCCAAGCGCTATCACATCAACAAATGTGACGACTGAAGATCCTCGATAGTAAATATGAAGTTGGCTAAATCACTCAATGCGAGCCGCATCATCACCAACCCGTTTCTTGGGATCTTGATGGCTTTCCCGCCGGTGGAATCCTTCACTGCATTGGGACCGTTACAGTCGTGAGATGCTCACACGCTGTACCGCAATAGGCTTGGGGCGGACGTCGGGTTTCTTTGGCAGTAAAGATGGTGCTAACCAAGATCAGACTTTAGAGAGCCAGGTTTCTGCGGGGAGTCGGGGGACAGGGCAGAGGGGAAGGCCGGGCTCGCATATTGCATGCCCAACCAAAACTCAGCTGGGCGGACAGCTGAGCGGAACGAACAAAAGATTTGCTCAGGGGTGGCCTGATTCATGTCTACACGGACTCAATGGGACCATGAACCCCCTCTTTTAGTGATGTTTTGAATAATGCGAGGCGCAGGTTTGCGAGACTCGACCGGTTCATCCAACATGTCATAGATCGTACCTTGCGGATGAACACATGGGAGATGCATGATTCAAAGAAATAAGGCTAAATGGGAGCTTTGATAACACCCCGCGGAACGCGTATAAGGTCATCCCCGGACGACGAGTCCAGCCATGAAGATATCTGGCCATCTTTTACGTTTTTCCCATTCAGAATTTGGACCGATGTCTCCCTCCAAGGCTGAGCTTTCCCCCGCATAACCAGGACCGTCCGTCTGCCCTCGTGCTCGGCGCTCCGAAGTGCATCGGATAGCTTTCCCGATTCAAGACATACTACAGCGCAATCTCATTTAAAGCAGCCCCCGCAACAGTCATGCCAAGTTCGCGCCCGCCGTGACTGCGACGCTGGCCCCTGGCGTCCTCCTCACCTTAATCGGCCTCCCGCTCGTGTTCCCACATGACCAGCATCATTCTTAGATTCTTTCCCGTGCGCATACCAGGGGGGCAGCCTCCAGGTCCTTCCCTAATCGTTCCTTCGACCGACGATGGTAGGCTGAGTGAACCACGAGAAGGGCGATTCTGGTGCCTTGAGTGGGAAGGTTGCCATACATAGCATCACCTACATTGATCACCGTCACATAGGAAAGAAGCAGGTCACATCCGAGATGGGGAGGGTACATGACGGACAGCGACATGTCTAATCAAACGCAAGGGGCGTTGCGACTTTTTCCCATGTCGCGATCAGGCGCATCGCGTCGAGGAGGACATGTGAGGTTTCTTTGGAACAAGTTCTTAAGGGGAATGTGCGCCCCTCCTGGAGAGAGAGACTGACTTTCTGACGACGGGCGTTCCTTTTTGAGTTGCTTGGTGCTACGACCCCTTCAAGAACCAGTTCCATTATCGTTCAAGATGCGTTGGTGTCTCCATGTCACAAACGTAGTGCTCGGCTACATCGTGGCCACGGCCTCTGCTGTGTGAGTTCGATCTACCTTGAACCTTAAGACGCGAGATACGTAACGTGTAAGCGTGGTTGGCTGACGCGAATGCAACATTGATAGCCCGAGCCAGCACTTTGTCCCACGGCAATCTACCGACATCCTCGCGTCTTATGACTACGTCGTTGTCGGTTCCGGGCCGGGTGGTGGCCCACTTGCCGCCCGGCTCGCCATCGCCGGGAAGAAGGTCCTGCTCATCGACGCCGGCGACGACCAGGGAGACTCGATCCCGTACCAGGTCCCTGCATTAAACCTTCAGTCTACAGAGTACGCCCCAATGAAATGGGACTACTACGTCCAACACTTTGCCGATCTCGAGGCTCAGAAGAAGGACTCCAAGATGACATACCGACAAGCGAACGGGGAGCTGTACGTCGGACTCAACCCACCGGCTGGCGCTGAGCCACTCGGCATCCTTTATCCTAGAGCTGGTACGCTGGGTGGTTGCGGCAGTCACAACGCGTTGATCACGGTCTACCCGCACAAGTCAGACTGGGATGGCATCGCGACCTTGACCGGAGACACCACCTGGGGCGCGTCCAACATGCGCAAGTACTTCCAGCGCCTAGAGAATGCTGAATACTTGCCCAATGGTATTGTAGGACACGGGTTCGACGGCTGGCTTACCACCTCCGTGACGGACCTTGGACTCGTTATCAAGGATATCAAGCTCCTTACGGTTATTCTGTCCGCTGCTTCCGCCATGGGCAAGAGTCTCCTTGGCTTGATCTTCTCGACGATACAAGGTCTCGGCGAGGTTCTCCTTCGTGATCTCAACGTCGACCTGCCCAGCCGTGACTCTGCCGAGGGCCTCTACCAGGTCCCCATCTCCGTCAACAAGGGCGTCCGTAATGGACCGCGCGAGTTCGTCCTGGACACGGCCAACGCGAAGAACGCGGATGGTTCTAGAAAGTACCATCTCGACATCAAGCTCACCACCCTCGTGACCAAGGTGCGCTTCGACCAGAGCGGCGCGAAGCCCCGGGCCGTGGGGGTAGACTTTGTCACGGGACAGAGCCTCTACCGCGCCGACCCCCGATCCGGCGATGCCGGCTCTGGCGTCGCCGGATCCGTAAACGCCACGGCCGAAGTCATCATATCAGCCGGCGCCTTCAATACCCCGCAGCTGCTCAAGCTCAGTGGCGTTGGCCCCAAGGTGGAGCTATCCTCTTTCGGTATCCCATCCATTGTCGATCTTCCTGGTGTTGGCACCAACTTGCAAGACCGTGAGTTTTCTCATTTGCTGCTGACGAATTGATAATCCAATGCAGAGCCGTTTGACTGATCATCACCACAACAGGCTACGAGACGTCCGTTATTGGCGAAACGCCGACAGACTTTCAGATCATCGAAGGCTGCACTTTCATTCGCCCCGGCACAGACGATCCCTGCTTGAAAAAGTGGCAGGACGGCGCCGCGAGTGGTGACAGGGGCATTTATGGCTCCAACGGCATCAGCCTGGGTATCGTAAAGAAGTCGACAGTGGCAGAGGGAGACCCGGACCTCTTTATCGCAGGAGCACCAGTCGCCTTCCCTGGCTACTATCCCGGATACTCCGTCGATGGCACCGCGGACCAGAGACACTGGACGTGGATCACCCTCAAAGCCCACAGCCGCAACCGGGCCGGAACCGTCAAGCTGCGTTCAGCCGACCCGCGGGATATGCCGCAGATTGACTTCAACTCGTTCCAGGACGAGGCAACGGGCGCTAAGGACATCCAGGCCGTGGTGGAGGGCATGAAGCTCTCGCGCAAGATGTTTGAGAGCGTCGTGCCCCTCACGGGAGGCTTCACCGAGGTCTGGCCCGGGAAGAATGTCACCGATGCAGACTTGCCCGAGTTCGTCAGGAATGAAGCCTGGGGCCACCATGCCAGCTGCACGTGCCCTATTGGCAAAGACGGCGATGCCACTGCCGTCTTGGACTCGAATTTCAAGGTGAGAGGGACCGAAGGTCTGCGGGTGGTGGACGCGAGCGTGTTCCCCAAGATTCCTGGGTATTACATCGCGTCGGCGGTATACATGATTAGCGAGAAGGCGGCGGATGTAATTCTTGGAGTATAGATACCTTCATGCTCTGTTTCCTTCTTCTTTTACTGTATTGTTACACATGGCGGGCGGGAAAAGCGCGCCGTAGGATTTTGAGGTGTGACCACGAAGGGTCTCTTGGACGTTTCCGTAAATACTTGGTACCTACCGCATACTTGACGACGGTAAAACATTTCATGAGTCTACCACACCACTGCCTCGAATTGAGTGCGATCTGCTGGCGCTGCGACGTTTGGTGAAGGTGACGCTGGCTGAATAGCCATGGCTGAGCTGGGCAGGGGACCGAAGGATAGGCGAGGATGGGATGAGGCGGCGAACGAAAGCAAGCCGCAATATCTGTACTCTGTGACTCTCCCTGTACAGTCTATGTCAATTCAGATGATAGACCCTTGCAAAAGAGTCAATGCGAAAAGGGTGCTGCCGTGGGACTGAGACCGCGAGGCGTCTCCCGAAGGTGCCTGTCTCAGTCCTTATATCACACGAGCTGATCAGTGGATCCTTGGAAATCCATCACTGTTCTTAGGCTCGGCACAAGAACAGGTGAAGAACATGGAGGAGCTTGAACAACAAAGATCTCATTATTCTTCTTTCTCGTGTGTAAAGGTGAGGAGGAGAGCGTGGAGCGTTGCCGGGAGATGAAACTCCGCAGTGAAATAGCAGTTGAGCATCCTCCAAGACGATCGCGATTCTTCAATGCGCATCTCCCGAGCAATAGCCTACTGGAGTACGGGGATAAGCCATGAAGAGGCGTAAAGCCGTACTTGGTAGTGCTACGCCATGAGAGGCGGCCTGTGGCACAAGGCCAAGGAAATCTTTCAGATGGCAGAGGCAAGAAAAAGGGGCAGGGACCATTCCACGTGGCTATTCGATAGAAGAGAACAGCCCAGCCCAGGATTAGTAACGGCAGCGAGATTGCAAAAGTTCAGCCGTCTGTGTAGTCTGCTAGAAACCCCTTCCGAGCGCAAACATATTGCATGCGTTGGTATGCGTTGGTGTGCGTTGGTGTGCTTGCGGGTAACCGTGCCGGCATGGTTTGGGGGTGGGAACATGTCGGCAGTGGTGATTAGGACAAACGCCAGCCAGAGAGAAAAAGCCCTGCAAATTGGCAAGTTAACTACGGATATTCCACCTTACTTTACACTGTACACACAGTAGAGAGTAGCGTCAGCAAGCAAACAGAGGCAAAGCTGCGTTGGGATAAGCTCGGACGCTTGCGAGCGACACCATCACACCCTCATTCTCTGGATTCCTCGAGTCTGTGAGTCTACG